GTCTGCGCAGTCGGTCGCGCTGGCGGGCTTCCCGCTCCTGCCTGGAGGAGAGGAGGCTGCAGGGTGCGCTTGTGGGTGTGGGTTTACTGTCCGGATAGGATACCTCGGAGACAGCAAGTTCTTTTTGCAACTCAGCGAGGTCCACGCAGGCAGGAGAACTCGGTGTAAGGAGCAAAGGGTCGAAACACACGTGTTTTATCTTCTGGGTCACTGTGCACACAGCAGCCCGGTGGGCGCTCAGGCCCGGCTCATTTCTTGACTAATTCACGCTTCACTCCTGCATTCACCTTGTGCAACAGTGAAGCAGAGCTCTCTACTCTTGCTTGAAGACACTCAGGTGTTCTTGTTTCTGTTCACTTAGACATGGGGCAAATGCACCCCCTTAATGATGATCTTCATCCAAAGGGGTCCTTGGGGGTCCTTGCCTTTAAGTTCCCGTATACCTCTTCCTCCTGGTACCACACAGTTTCCTGTGTATTCCGGTTATTTGTAAGTTTGATTTGATTCGTGCACTTAATCATTATCCACCTGGAATGTTGCCGTACCCCTCCAATGGGTCTCCTTACTCCCACTGCGCACACACCCTGCAGTCTGCTCTCCCTCACTGTACCTAGTGCGATTTTAAAAAATACTTTTATTGATTTCAAAGAGGAAGGGAGAGAGCGAGCTAGAAACATCAATGATGAGAAAGAATCATTGATCAGCTGCCTCCTGCACGCCCCCTACTGGGAATGGAGCCCAAATCCCTGGCATGTGCCCTGATTGGGAATCTAACCGTGACCTTCTGGTCCACAGGTCGATGCTCAACCGTTGAGCCACACAGGCCAGACGTCCAGTCTTATCTTTATCTTGCTTGCATGTATCAGGGTTTCCGTTTTGCATTCAGAGGCAGTTAAAAGCACAGCTTTGGGAGTGAAACTGCCTGTTTACTATATTCCTGTTCTGCTGTGTGACTTAGGGGGAGTTCCTTAACTGCTCTGCCAAGTTCTCCTATCTGTAAAACGAAGACACCGTCTTCCTCATAGGCTCGTTATTATGTATTAAATTAATGAATCTGCCCTACAGTTTTTCTCTTTGTTATTTTTACTTTTAATTGCTGATTATATGGGTGATGTTTGTCTTCCCCACTAGATTTTAAGGAACCGTGTTATTTTCTCCCACCATTGTAGCTCCAGACCCCAGCGCATAACAGGCACTCTATAAATTGTTGTTGAAAATAAATTTTTAAAAAAGAGTGGTTTAAGTCGAGGTAACAATGCATGCCTGTGTGTGCACTGAAGTCAGCTGCAAATTCTCAGTTATCAGTCACAGTCACTAGATGGCAAGCTTGTCCCAGGCAAGGCAAATGCTGCTTTAAGCCCCCAGGAACTGAAGATGGGGAAGTGTCATATACTAGACAGTGCATGGTTTTTAGGCTGGTAGAATGATAGGAAGATGGAAGTTTAATCAGAAATAAGAATTGCCTATTTTTATTCTTCATTCCATCATGTGCTCTGCCCTTCTGACTAGCTCATCTTTCATTTGATTTATTTATTTTTATTTTATTTTTTAAGGTTTTAACCGGCCACACACAGACACTGGCTGAACATGGCCCGGCTGCTGTGACAGCCGGGTGAGGCCCGTTAGGATTCTGAGTCACAAGTGAATCCGTTGCCTGCATGTGTGTGGGGAAAGAGCAATGTGTCCCTTCTCGAGGCTGCTCCCCAGGTGTCCCGCTCACCCCCAGGACAGGCCCGAGACCTGGCTAAGGGCACCTATGGGCACTTCTGTCCTTGGCGTTCTGTTCAATAGAAATCAAATCCTGGACACATTAACCCCAAAGCCGGCAAGAGGCGTACATAACTGGACGTGCTGAAGTTTCAACTCTTCCATTTCTAGAAATTTCTCGTTTACTTAAGGACCAATTGATGCCATTTTCCCTTTCTCTGGACATTCTTTCCAAATGGAAAAAGCCAAAGAAAGCCACACACATCCATATTTGCTGAGCTCTTAAGATCCCTTCAGCATCCAAACTGCAACCAAACTCAAACCAGCCGCGCTTGTCAGTGTTTGATTTCAAAATTCCGGAGCCTGAGGCTCCATGCGGTCCTTGTGGGCAGGAACCACCAGCCAGGGCTTCCAGAGAAAATGTTTGCGGACTCCTTGACCCAGTCAGAGGCCCCAGGACCTGGTACAGGCCCTGGTCAGTGGCTGCAGCTGCCCCCTGAGCACAGTCTCAGGCAGAGCCCAGAGCACACAGGAGACTGGGTGGAGGTCAGTGGGCATCCTCTACATATGATACATCTAGCATTTCTCTCATTCCACTGACACCTTGTTACAATGTTCATAATTTCCCATTGAAACACAGTGCTCAGAAAGGTCTCTTATAGGATTATTATTAATCAGAGTTTTCTTACTCCTTTCAACCACAGACCTTTACCTGCTGGCTCCAAAATCTACCATGATTATGGCTGGAACATGAGCAACATTCTATCTTATGCCCTCTATCCTTTATTCTTGAGCAAGAACTTTGTCTTTTTTTTTTCTTCTTCTTCTTCTAATTATTGCTCACTTATATGGGTGTGAGGCATGTGCCATTTTCATTCTCTTCTAGTTCGCAATGTGTGCCATTTTGGGAAAAGAAACTGCTGTTGTGCCTGTTTAATTGCACCTTTTTTAGCAACATTGCCAACAGGCACCTGGTATAAAAGAAAGAAATGAAAGTGTTGAAGAGTCTACAAATGAGATAACCTCTAAATGATCGAAGTTTGAGGCTTTTGAAAATTAATTTTATAAATACTAATCAATTGAAATTGATTAAATGTGTGTATATGCTTCTTATTAATCAAAAGGCATGTGAAAGTATTTTTTTTCTCTACTTTTAGCAAAAAGGAGGGAGTAGCATAAGGTTGCTTCTATCTGCGAAGTTTTCAAAAGCTTTTACCTATTTTTAGATAGTTTTAGCCAGATTGTATATTACAGTGTATGAAGTCAGAGAAAATACCTGTTTTGTAAGATCAACAACAAATTATTGTTGTCTTCTAGGTAATCTGCATGGTACATCTAAACAACAGAAGTCTGACATTTAGTCAATATTTGTTTTCCAAATTAATGATTTTGGTCAGTACAAATATCCAGTGATACCTCAATTATCTAGGATTAAGCAAACTGGCAACCTAGCTCATGTAAAATAAAGTCTACCCCCCTATCAAAGAAACATGCAAAAATCTCTGAACGTTCAGACAGGTAACTTGCTCTACCGTCCCGTTTCTCAGCCATGGGGTTTGCATTGAGCTACCTCTGTTTACTTCAGGACTAGACTCATTGGCTGAAAGCCATCATGGTCCAGCCATTGACCTTGTTTCATGGGAGCAGCAGACAGTCCAATGAAAGCCCGCTGTGATCGGCTGGGCTCGTCAAGGCTGGGCTTGGTGATACCGGGCCCTGCGTGGCTTGGAAACAGCGAGGCGTGTTGTTAACGCGGGAGCGTGGCCCGGAACAGGGCCTCCACCAGGAGCGGAGCCTGAACCTTGGCCCTGGGGCAGGCTGGTTTCTCTCCTGACATGCAGCTCCCCCACCGGCTCCTGTAGTCGGCCAGGCTCCCTCCCTTCCGACAGCCACCTTCTTTGCATTTCCCACCAGTAGCTACCAAAAGAATCCCAACTCATGGATCTAGTTTATTCTTAGATGATCTCTTTGGTTCTTTATGCAGGTACCTATTTTTGATTTATGAACAATTCTAAGAGCCTCCATTGTGTAGTTTTGCAATGAAGAGTAGAGAAATGAAAAGTTGAAGGGTAAAGATGGGCAGCCAGCCGCCATTCAGTTGGTGGGTGCATGTTCTTAGCCTGTCAGAATGAAGACCCGTGGGGATAATGGACCACAGCCTCCTTTTTGTGCCTTTGTCCCCAGTTTCTAGGGTGATTTCTTGTGCATTGTAACCCCTGTTAGTAAGGGCATTATAACTTATAGGAGAACAATCTGGATTATTGTTTCTTAGAAAAAATGGATAAATGAAGAAAAGCATATTTATGTTTAAGATATTAAGTTACAGCCACAGCCAGTGTGGCTCAGTTGGTTGAGTGCAGTCCCGTGCACCTAAAGGTTGCCAGTTCCATTCCTGGCCAGGGCACATGCCCAGGTGGCGGGTTTAGTCCCTGGGCTGGGTGCGTGGGGGAGACAACCAATGATGTTTCTCTCTCCCTCCCTCACTCTCTCCCTCCTTCTCTCCCTCCCACTTATGCCTATGTGTGTATATATATATCTCTATATCTAAATATAGAGATATATATATACACACATAGGCATAAATGGTTGAAGAAAAACTCATTATTAGTTCTGTGATCTTGAGAAATCGCTTCACTTCTCTGAAACTCACCTGTAAAATAATTATAATATCAAGCTCAAGAATTTCTGTGAGGATTTAATGACATAATATATGTAAAGTGCCTGTAAGAGCTCAATGAATGCTAGCTGCTATTATTGTAATGAGTGATCAACTTTGTCATAATTAAATAATGTTTGATTATTATCATGTTGTTGTAACTTTT